TTAGGGGTTTAGAGGTTTGGGGGTTTTGGGGTTTAGGGGTCTAGGGTTTAGGGTTACCATAGTACAGAAAGCATGTTCTTTACTGCAGGTCCCTGTTGTGGTGCTAAGCTTCTTAAGCATCTTAGCTTGAGTTACCTTAAAACGGAGACCATGTTCTTGACCATAGATTCTTGCTACTGAAGCCTGAATGATCAGTTGCAGGGTATCAGGGCTTTAGTAGTGTTGGCAGGGTTCCTTGAAGGCTTCCACAAGGGTTACCAGAGGGGTTCTATAATATAGAGGCCGGAATAACCCAGAATGGGTTCTGGCTGGGTTCTGGGTAGATTCCAGTGGCGATACAAGATAGTTATTGCTAATGATCCAGGTCCCGAGATGAGGTTGAGGATGGGACTTTGTGTTGTAGAGATCTTAGTGGCAAGCTGTTGTTGTGCTTTGCTATCTCCCCTGATGTTTTCGTCATGAAGGTGGAAGTTGGAGAACCTTACAGATGCTTCTACGAATGGTCCGAGTACCTAACATGTATATAATTCCCAAAACTCACATGCAACTACAACGCTTGAATAAAGTCAATGTAACGCAGCGCAACATTCACTTGACCCAGGAGCGGTTGCCTCCAGACGCCAGCTCCGCGACAGCTGCAGATGCTACGGCTGCAGCTTTCCTGAAAAGCACCAGCAAACACTACACCGTAAACCCAAAATAATTGGCTGAACTGGCCGGGGCCGACGCCTAGGCCTCACAACCTGACCTCGAACCCCACATCCTGAACGAAACCGATTCCGTGGACGCTCTTATATGCACTTGTCGGTTTAGGGTTCGCTCTTGTATGCTCCTGTGGGTTTAGGATTTAGGGTTAGGGCTATTTGGTTCAGAGTGTGGGGTCAGGCCTATTTGGTTTAAGGTTTAGGGTAAGGGCTGTTTGGTTGAGAGTTTAGGGTAAGGGCTGTTTGGTTGAGGGTTTAGGGCAAGGGCTGTTTGGTCGAGGGTTTAGGGCTTGACGGATCAAGGTCTTGCTTGACGCAGCCGCACATCCGCACTCGCTGGACACCAATGCGACTTCGCCCAACTTGAAGTGATCGGGATTTAGGGTTCCCTAAACCCTAAATCCTAAACCCTAAACCCTAAATCCTAAGCCCTAAACCCTAAACCGCTTATGGTTTCTCTAAGGGTCTGGGCTGGATCGTGCTTTGATCGTTTCGGACTTGAGCTTCTAGCCTCTTAGCCTCAACCCTCCAGCTCCTGAGCCCTGGCGGTTTAGGGTTTAGGGTTCATGAGCCCACGGTTTAGGGTTTAAGGTTTAGGGTTTAGGAGTTTGGGTTTAGGGTTTAGGGTTTAGGATTTCGGGTTTAGGGTTTAGGGTTCATGAGCTCTGTGTTGTGGGTCGGACCCTGGTGTCCTGTCTGCGGCATATATTATCATCTCTATGGTTACTGTCAATACTGTTATTGTCGTTTTACATGATAATTATGGTTAGTCGTGTTAGAAAATCCCAATCCCTAAACCCTAAACCTTAAACCTTAAACCTTAAACCCTAAACCCTAATCCCTAGATCCTAAACCCTAAACCCTAAACCCGAAATCCTAGGCATTGTGGTCATTACGTAAAAAGGGAGGGAGTTGTGAGGGCTCCAGGGTTCGATGTTTAGGGTTCAGGGTTTAGGGTTCAGGGTTCAGGGTTCAGGGTTCAGGGTTCAGGGTTTAGGGTTCAGGGCTCAGGGTTCAGGGTTTAGAGTTTAGGGTTCAGGGTTTAGGGCTCAGGGTTTAGGGTTTAGGGTTCAGGGTTTAGAGTTTAGGATTTAGGCCTTTTGGGGTTTAGGGCCTTTTAGTAGGGTTTAGGGTTTAGAG